CATATAGTTCGGGTTTTTTGAGGTCACTGACCTGAGGTCAGGTAGAGGTCATTAAGTCATAATGTTAAGCCTATGGGAAAATACTATATTCGGAAAATACTGGAGATATCCGCTTCGTTCTGTCACTTTTGTGCTTTGAAACCACAATACTTAACAGTAGGGCGGGTCGATGAAAAAAGTTTTCAAGTGAAGAGCGATTTTCCTACGGGCTGATCCATAAAACGGTTAAAACATATTTTTTGCGAATTTTTGAAAAGGAACTGGGCGCGCCGTACACGGTTTTTCGAGACCACTTTTGCTAATTTTTCTCGTTGTTTGCAAAATTTAGTAGGAAAAAATCGAGAAAGATACTATATTTACCACTTTCCTAGTTCTACATGCTTACCCCCACCTCTTCACAAAGTTTGGAAACCCCAGTGGCAGAATCGTGCTCAGAATAGCGATTAGCATCGGCGATCTGAGCGCAACGAAACCAGCGCCATCTATTGAGCGAGTTTGGCATAACATTGGTTTTGACGGCTTTCCGACCGTTAAAAGCTGACGCAGCCGCTGCCAGGGTATATTGCCGCTGCCACGTCGGGTATATGGTGTTCTTTGGTGTTCCTAGGTGTCTGGTGTTCCTTATTTGACAATAGGTGAGTTGTACCCATTCGATCCATATACTAAGTTGCTCCGGAAGCTATACCTATAGTGATTTCGCCAAGAAAACAGCGAGATGCTTAACTTTGATATATGTTTATCAGTTAAATTAAGTTTTGCAGACAGATAACATCAGTCCAAACCGTATGTTCATTTTTGAATGCAACGTAGTCAGCCACCTTACCGTCCTAGGACAGAAAATCACACTTCGATAATTGATTCAAACGCCGGCATGAGAGCGCTGTATTGCGTCCTGATGGCACACATGATGTAACTGAGACGTGCTCTCTTAATAACAACAGCGTATGCTGCCTAAGTTAGGAGCCGGACGGCTCGCTCCACTGCCTGAGTAGTGAGTATGGGTATGCACCGGATCGAAATTAATTTGCTAAGCAGCGGGTCGAAGGTCACCCTCTTCCACCGAGATTGCTATTGGTGACTCTGTAACGCGTTTTTTGGACCGATCTATGAGCTGCATGTAGTGCATGACTTGTTTATTGCAAAATGCTGATAGAATCGCATATCTTTGTCTCCTGCCTCATTCACTTCCTATACTTTTTTGCCGTAAGTGTCCCGAGTCTTTTTATCACCATTCCTTAGTTCAGCAAGCATCGCAGCGTATGCACTGTTTGCTGGCTGTCTGTATCGGCTAGTGGCAGTCCAAAAAAGTTTCCTATAGTGAGTCCGGTACTTATTCCTGTCGATCACTGGGCAAATGACACAGACCGATGAGCTGAGAGGTCTCGCAATAGCGGGATGCTTTGGAGTAATCCGTCTCTGCAATGTTTACTCCGTAATTTCGGACCACATTGGGACATAGTGAACAACATTGAACTCGGTGATAGTTCGAAGCTGGTCAATATATGTTGTATGATGGGCGATCGCGACGGAATACGTAACTTGCAAGCTGCCAACGTAAGCCATTTTACCAAATTCAAGGGCTCAAGCTTCCTTACTGACAGCTACCTCAGGATTTGTCAAGAGGTGACGTCTGCTTCCGGGCTGTTCAGAAGTGTTCTCTGATCTGGACTGCATGGCGTTGCCCGAAACGGCACGAACGGTTCCTGCTCGATGCACAGGCACTCTTAGTAAATGGTCCACTGATCGGCGCGGCTTTAGTCCAGTGGCTTTTCCACAAGTCTTGTAAACTTGTTTAATAATTTGGCCCTTGTCTGATTTTGGTGTAAAATAGAATAAGCACTGACTACCGGCTCATTTACTGAAGCAATATGCTCTTCCAGCAGGCTCGTCCTAGCCGATGATCCAGCACGGCCATCCTATTTATCATGATAAACGACGCATCCTTATGCACGTAAAATGCAGAAGGGCATTTCCTTTGTAATCACTTGCCTATCCGAGAACAGAATGTGAAGTGTCACTGAGGACCACCACGCGGCATTAGTTCCGTTTCGACATGGAGGCTCCTTTCCACTAACTGCAACAATGTCACATGATTGGGATCACAAATTGCGCCGGCGACCGCTTAGCAGCTACTACTGCGGTTATTATGAGGTCAGTTTCCCTCAAAGCTCGATGCTCCACTGCTTGTTGCGGTGGCCCAGCCCCAATAGGTCATCAAAATGGGATCTGATGGTCCGATGAGAACGCGCGACTCGGGCAGTGATATGATACGCGGATCGCCGATCAGCAGGATACCTCGCAACTCATCCTCAGTCTGCTGTCAGATGAAGCCGGGCTAAATTAGTACTTATTCTGCAATTGAGCTGCTACTGTTCAGTTCTAACACTAGGTTTGCATTAACAAAAGGTTAAATTTACATGCAAGAAAATAATCGAAGCCAAAACTGAAAATAATGCTGCTGAAGTCTCAGCGCAGAATTAAATGACTAATAGGTCCAGCGGACACTATCGCACTTGGCGAATAATGGCTGTGCTAAAGTCAGGTGAACCCCTAATATGTAAATTTCATGGCTAATTTAATTGCAATTGACAGCTTTCACGTTATATACGCTCCTGTGCCTCACGTTTTTTTCATCAGCGTCCTAAGATCGCATCAGCAGAATGCATACTGTCTCGACCGACGCAAGGTTAACAGTCCTCTCAAGAGATGGCGCTGCGATCGAGTTGCGGAAAACCGATACAGAGAGCATGGCACCATGGCCACAGTTAGAGAGATACAGCCAACAGACTTAGAGAATAGGTTGAGGAATAGCTGAAGTTTCGAGGTATATATTTGAAAATAATTAATTATATGATATTTGTGCTCAAAACTCGCGTGCAGTGAAAATGTAGCGAAAAACCCGGTTGATTAATTGGCTGCGGCGACCCGCAACCTCAACCAAAAAAATTGAAAAAATTCACACAGTCTTCTTGTGACATGCTCCGTAGGAATTTCGGTCTTCATTTTGTGTCCTCGAAAAAAAATTCTCGGATGACCCGCCCTACTTAACAGCAGGTCACTTGGTGCTTCTTTGTTTGGTGTATGTACTTATCCATGGGTCAGGTCAAATGAGGTCAACTGAGGTCAAATGACGTTTTCGCCAATAACTGGACACATAATGACGCTAGAGCTTAAAAATGGTGTCATTGTGTTCCTGGTGATCAGCCGAATCGAATGATATGCTATATGATGCAATTTGGTAAACTTGAACTTAATTAACCTGCGAGTTGCTGGGGGGGGGGGCGTTAAACGCCCCCACTTTTTTCGCCGGGCCATAGCATAAAAACGGCGCGCCGCAGGCGCGCCAAATTTTGGGTACCTGTAGGGAATTGATTGAAGTTTATTGTGACAAAGTTTCAAAAAAATCGGTCGGAAAATTTTTGAGATATCGAGGTTTTAGTGACGTCATGATTTCTGAGTTTTCGACCAAAAACGGCATATGTTCAAAAAATCATATAAAATCACAGAATAGACATACATACATGCCGTAAACGCCATTAGACTGCCAATACCATGATCAATCAAATGGCTATCTTCGATTATTGATTATCGTTCCGCATTTTCCATAATCTTGAACTGAATCTTGGCAATTTTTCGTGACTACTTCACGACCATGATACATGCATTTCTTAAATTGAACTTTTTGAGCCAAACACGTACACATATGATAAAATGAATGTCACCATCGTGTTCTACGCCCCAAATTACCTATAAAACATGTGTCATAGGCTGCGAATATCAGTTTTGATTTTCGGGGATATGTGCCTACCCGGTTGACCTGACCTTGACCCTGACCTATGCTTGATCGACCCCGACATGGAGCTGACACTCTTGTAGGCCTAATATGATGGATTGTGCACCATTTGGACAGAGTTTATGACGAGAGGCGCCCATTGCGAAGTCCTGAAGTCCATGCTACTGAAAGCCCGATTTCAGGTGTTTGACCTGACCTTGACCCGACCTGTGACCTCAAAATTCAACTTTAAAGTACTCATCTGAAGCGTCTCGTCGCGCTCTTTCGTTTGCCGCCTCGTGCGTTTCGCTGCGCCTATTGGTTCTCGAGTTATCGGCTGGGGGCGTTTAACGCCCCCCCCCCCAGCAAACGGTGGGTGGCGAAATACCCCAGCAACTGCCGGGTTAAATTAAAGTTTACTTAAAAATTAAGAAAAACTTTAAGTACCCTTAAGCAGGCTAAAAAGTATATCATTCGACGCGCCATGACGTACGGAGTTCACTGGTGCTTTTCTTTTTGCTCTATCTTAATTAGATCAAAAGTTATAGGCGAAAAAAAACTTTTGACGTGTTTTTAGCGAAATTTTTACATTTATTCCCCCCAAAACCCTCCTAAATATTGACTTAGAGCAAACAAATTTGCACAGGGGCGAGAACTCCAGAAAGCCCACCTACCTACCAAATTTGGTGTTTCTAGGTGCCATAGGAGCCAATCGCGAGGGGAGGTCGCATCGACCCCCCCCCCTGCCAGGCCGTGTTATGAAAAATGCCCTGCCAGGGCGAGGGTTAAAATGAAACATTCCAGAGACACTGGATGGCATACAGTAATTGAAGAAGGATGTGTCCCATTACTGATAAAATATGCCCCTGCAGGTGACAGAATCTGCCCCGTGTATGGGGCAGTTTCTGTCAGACGACGCGTCGACACATAACCGACTCTAGCGTCGAAACCAATGGAGATGCAGCCGGAACACTAATGGAATATTTGAAGCTCTTGCTGTAGGGGATATACCAGGAAAGTATCAAACACAAGCTGTTGAAAGAGTGCGCGCTAGAGCCACTTTGGTAAAAATTGACACAATGTGCCCCACTCCCCCCTACCAGATGCCCGTCGTGAGAACGGCTACTACCTACCTACCTCCCGGCGACGCGACGGGGCGGGCTCCGCCGCTCCAGTCGGGTCAGCACCATCACCACTTGACCCTGAAAATGGTAAATAGACGCCGGGCCAACCAACCATGCGTTTGTTTTTATTCAAAAGGGATTTGGCTTCAAGTTCATTATGGAAGCTTTCACGTGAGCTTCGTCAACTTCAGCGTCTGGGGCTAATTTCTTACCTAAAAATATTCTATTTTACATTGTGCCCGGTAAATACATGGAAATTCTGTCTTCAAAATGAGCATACTATGATGACGTCACTCGTGGCAGCTGGCACCCATTGTCCGTATGATGGCGCGAATTGTCAACAAATTTTAGCAAACTCCGTTTTTCACTGTTACCGAGGTTAGAATCGAGTAAGCGATTCTGTCCATGATAGTTATGCATCACATGTAGTGCAAGTTCGACAGCATTACATCACCACTGTTCCATCTATTTCCAAAACGCACGTACGAAATTCTAAAACGCACGTACGGATTAATCGGGAATGATTCACATGTTAAACTTTGGCGACATTCGATTTTCTCTGGTTCAGTTTTTGTCCTTTTCTCTGGCCAAACACGTGCAAAGCTACTTGGAGCCAAATCCCTTTTGAATAAAAACGAACTATAAAACAAACGTCTCGACATTATTGGCTAGTCTCTTTTGCGGCCCGTCCGACGATAAGTCATCAACGCTCTAATTTCCTCCGTCTTTTGGACCCATTCATTCCGTTGAATTGTCACCAATCGAGCGCTTCGTATGCGCCGCTGCAACTTCGCAGCGACTCGGCAGTGACTGAGCCCGTCCGACTGTGACTGATGACTGAGTCCGTTCTGGCAAGACAGAACGGACTCAGTCAGCAGTCACAGTCGGACGGGCACAGCAGACCACTGCAGAATGCTGAGTGTTGATGGCAGCGATGGAGCTCATTGACTGCAGCGCGGGCCGTCACAGGAACATGTCGGCACGGATGAGGCTCGGCGGCGGCGCTGCCGCCCGGGCGCCGACCACCTAGGCCGAGTTGGCCAGCACCCAGGCGCAGAGCCGACGCACGCCGGCCACCAGCTGGGCGCAGTGGCGCTCCACAAAGGCGTCGTCCAGCGACTCGCCGGCATCCAGCGCCGCCAGAGCCGCCGCGCCGTCCAGACACACGAAACAGAACCGGGTGCTGAGGTCCGTCTCACTCATCAGGAAGCAGGAGCTGGCCATCAGCTGTGGGGAAACACACGGCGCCACCGCATGCGCTCCGTCAATCAGCACATCTGGCGGAAAACACCGCCTGAAAAGACGCACAAATATTATCTTGAAAATACCTAGCTCCAAAATTAATACCATCTTGGCCAAGAATTTGCAAGGCAGCTGATGGTAAGATACCAGAAGGATGTATAGTCGACTACAATAAATGTTCCACTCCTCAGAAGCTATCAGTTGACCGGAGCGCTAAGTTGTGCCGTTTATCACGCAATTAAGCGGGTCGATTGTGAGCATTGGGAAATAGCTATAATTTGTGAACTCAACCCGCGTGATGCGGCACAGCCTACCACTCCAGGCAAATAATTGGCTATGAAAAGTGGAACATCATTCTGTAGTCTCGACTATACGGCGCCAGCATTGCGCATTAACGTTTTGAGAGCGACGTAATGTCATGTGCGACTTGTCACGGGCATAGAAATAAGGACTACAGCTTTTAACGACCAATCTAGGCGGCAGTGCACACATTTCAATTTTCGGTGATAGTGCAAGTGATTTTCAGAGTACGGCATAGTGCATTCGTAGGTTGAATCGCGGCACGATATTCGTCATAGTACAGCCATTTCGTCGTAGTGCAGGTAAAAGTGGCCCAGGTTCATGCATATTAACATAGCGCACTGGCGGTCGCAGCCGTTAGCAAAAGGGGAGGGGGGGGATGCAAAGTCACACTCGCGGGACATAACATTTATCCGTCACCCGGGAGGGGGGGGGGGGGGTGATCGGCTATTTTTTTACGTCCACGAGGCGCCGCGCAGTTGGCATTACTTATGCTTCATCCATCTCATTCTTGCGTAAAATCTTTAAGCTCAATTTAACCCTCGCCGGCACAGGGAGCATCAACCCCCCCCCCCCCCCGTAAGGCCCTACACTAGCGACTCTGACGGCTCCACTGAGTCCACACTGGTGACTCTGAGGGTCCCAGTGGCGTCTGAGAATACTATTCCGGTCTAAACGGACCCCCTCGGCGTTCCTGAACGCACCACCGACCTCTGAGGTCCCCTTGTCGGCCTATGAAGGGCCCGCACCAGCACTCAGCAGCTCTAAGGGTCCCACGCATATCTGTGATGGCCATAAACTAGTGTATCTGAGGGCCCCGAAACGGCGCTTAAGAGGGCCCTCACCGGCGACTGTGCAGGTCCCACTCCGGCGCCTCTGAAAGCCCAACACATGTGCATCTGACGAACACCCACCGGTGACTTTTGCGTGGCCCACACCGGCAATTCTGAGGATCACACCGTGGCCTCTTGCACCAAACTACCTAGCTAGGTAAAATCGAAAAACCGGTTTCAGAATAAGCTAATCTAACGGTGGTAAATTTGTCTGCAATAGCCCAATACATAATCCTACATGTGCTTGCTAAATTTTGCACGCAAATTGTTACATTAGAGACTTGGACTGGGTATACGATGCAAAATAATCCAAGCATTGGTGCAAGAGGATTTTGGTGCAAGAGGCCTCGGAGTCTGAGAGTACCGTGCCGTTCTCTAAGGACCCAACTGAACTTCTGAAGGTGCTGTCGGCCTCTGAGGACCCTTTGCCGGCCTGAGGAGTAAGGACCCTTGCCGTTCCGTAAGAACCCCCTGCCGGCTTGCGAAGGGTTCGCGACAGCAGCTCCTACGGCCCACAGGCCACACGCATCTGTGACGACTGTTCATATATGCTTATTTGCTTATCTGTTTATGCTGATTTTGTTACCAACTGAAAAGTGACAAAAGATTGGTAGGGCTCAGCGAACATTGGTAGGGCCCAAATAACTAAACATTGGTAGGGCTCGGGCCCTACCAGGCCTATACAAAACGACGCCCCTGCTGTTTTGTATACATGTTGTATGTGTCCTAACTTTGTCCAGGGTATGAGTATAGTAAAATGTAATATGCTCATATGTAGGTAGGTACTCCTTTATGTATATAATGTTCATTTATGTACAATATGCTCATTTAATTGTTCATCACTGTGTACATGTCGTATGTGCCCTAACTGTGCCCAGGGTAAAAGTATAACATGCTGCCCATTTAATTGTTTTGCAAACGTATTGTATTGTAGCACATTAAATTTGTATATGTTTAAGCACACACGCACTTTAATCTTGTGTATAGGTTTTCTGTGTATTATATTTGACTGCTGCGACTTTTAGAATTACCAACCATAAATCTTTTCCATGATGATATATCTACTGTTGTGCATGTGTACTGAACGAAAAGTATTTTGACATCTACAATTGTGGCGCCTGCTGGTATTGGTTGACAAAGATCTGTGATCGAAAGATGTGATCGTTTTATTCAGATTATATTGAGGATTCGGTCAATCAAATATGCTCAAATCGAAAGTATTTGCTATGAATGTAAATATGTACCTGCAAAGTATGTCAATAAATTTGTGTGATGTTAACCAGAGAGCTGTATCATCTGGGCATTTATGTTGCTTCTTACATTAGGTTAGGTGTTAAGCAAGCATAGTTACCAGCGAGCGAGCGCAGCGAGCGAAGTGAGTCTTTTCAATATAACGGAAAAATCTCAGTATGAGCGGCCCGGCCCGGCCCGGCCCGGCCTGTAACGCTTTTGAGAGGCTTATATCTCAGCAACCGCTGGACCGATTGGCCTGCGGTCTTTTTTGCTGGGTAGCCCCATCCCTTCTACCCCGTAATTGACTACTTTTGATACATCTCAGTGACCGTCGTGGCACGTGCCACGTGAAAAGTCAAGGGTGTTCAAGCTGTTTTGCAAAAGTAGTGATTTTGAGAGGCTCATATCTCAGCAGCCGCTTGGGCGATTGACTTGCGGTAATTTTTATAGGGTAGCAGCATCCCTTCCCTACCCTACCCAAACCTACCCTAACCTACCCTACCTACCCATCCCTACCCAAAATAGGATACTCTCGATGCATGTGGGTCACCCCCAGTGCACGTGCAAAATACAACAAACAGAGGTGCCAAATTTGTTCCCATTTCAGTAACTCGGTAATTACTGGGGCGATTTCGCTGAAACTTGGCATACAGGTAGGCACCTACCAGGCAATGCATTCCCATGTGTTGCGGTTAGGGTGCTACTGCACGTGCGCACGTGCAGGGGGCGTTTCCAGATCTCGAGAACGGCTGGGCCGATTGCGCTCAAATTTGGTACACGGTTGGGGACCAGTTAGTAGGGTGCCGTGCAAAAGTCATTTTGGACCCCGTTGCACATGCAGAATGCCGCTTCCAGATCTCATGAACGGCTGGGCCGATTGCGTTCAAATTTGGCACACCGCTAGCGACCAGTTAGAAGGGTGCTTTGCGCAAACCCGTTGGAAGCACCCTCTCGCCCTTCCGCACGTGCAGGGCTCACTATCTCGCTCGCTCGTTCTTCGCCCAAAAGGCGTTATACTGGTAATTATGGATGAACTTTGTGCCAATATCTTCAATGCACAGTGTATGTAGCAGGTCTACAACCCTCACTGATCCTGCTATAGCTATAGGCATTTGGCACCAGCAAGACCAAGGGCATGAACTTCACAGTTGTGCAACCCTTTGTCATGTACCACCAGTCACTTTTTTCCTTAAGGTGCACATAGCAGTGTACACAATAATGCACAGACGGCCTACACAAAAACAACATGATTAGTGTGCGCTATGATGAACAGCATTGCACCCTAATTATTTGAATATTCTGATCACTATTTTTGAATGTCACATTTATTATACATCACTTGTCAAACAAGAGCATGATGAGACACATTTTGACAAGCAATCTTGGTGATATTCCAATACGTTGGACACCTCCCTGGGCGTCATTTTTCCAGGAAGGTACCTCTGCAGGTGTTGTGGTAGGTTAGGTTGAATAGGGTTAAGTTAGGTGAAGTAAGGCGGTTAGGACCAGGTCAGACCGTAAGGCCTGGTTAGGTTGATTTTAATCTTTCATTCTAATTTGACATAAATACCTATTAACTATGGTTTTGCTCCAGACTGAACTTCATTAGGTAATGAGTTCATTTTAATTTGTTTTTTATCTGTCTTGTTTTGTGTTTTTGTCCCTTATGTTTTGCCCCATAGCACAGCGGGGATTTTTCCGATCTAGCACGTCTTTATTCTTAGAGGGCAAACCATAGGTAGTATTGTAGCCAAATTGTGCTAAGATGTTGGCTGGTGTGTTCTGAAAGAATGTTACCTGTAAAAGTGTAAATGTGTAAATGTGCATAATCAACATAGTATAGGGGGTTCAATTGGACCCCCGGCTCAGCCGTTTGGCCCCTGATCAAGCTAGAGCTTCTCGGAAAAATCAAGCGTGCTGCCTATGACGAGATGAGGCCGAATATATCCAATTTCAAACTCCAATGTCATAAGTTGACTTTCCAAGTCAGTTTAATGACCCAACTAAAGTTGAAAAATCGAGACCTCTTGAAACTTCGCAAAGTTTGGGTGATACGGGGTATTTTAGGGTGCTAATCACTAATTTCATGTTAGTTTTGATCAAAGACGATGTCTTTATGCATTTAGGCCAGGTCGGGTCAGGTCAGGTCAGCTCAACCAGTAGGCGTCCTGCCGGCCATCCATAGTAGGTGTCACCTACTACTGACAGCTTCGTAGCATGGTACGAACACGAAGGCACCAGAACTACTTCGTAAATATTCAAATGGTTGCTTAATTCGAAATCAGCACCAAAAACTGCCCGAGAAACAAGTAAAACTCGAAAAAGTGAGCCAAGGTCATCAAAGGTCAATGACCTTGACTTGACCTTCACGTGACCATGACACCCACCATAATGCATGGCACCAACATCATTTCACATAGTTGAACGTTTAAAACCACAAAAAGACTGGAAACCGCGGATAATGTGAGCTGGCATACGCCGAATCGCGATTCCGGCCAAACATGGTCTCGAGAAATATGCCACAGGTCAAAGGTCGGTTGGGTCAGAGTCATGAAATTTTTGGATTAGATGTAAAATTGATGGTCTCGAGGGCACCGAAAGTTTCGTCGCAATCAGCCG